CACCATCTGTATGGAATGGGGGATGGCATCAAGTTAGTATGCCAGAGGGTGGGATGGCAGGCCCACTTCCCCCAACGTGATGTGGTGCAAGCAGAGGACAAAAAGAGCGCATGGAGCGTTGCGCGGTGCGCGATGCACGTGGGCGGGGAAAGCTGACCCGAGAGGAGCGGAGTGGAGACAGGCGCATCACGGCCACAGCGAGCACCAACAGAATGGCGTACATGGACACTGTGTGGAGGACACGGGCAACAGGTGAGCTGCGTGTATGGGTGTGCAGAGGGTATTGATGGCGTAGCATGGACTGACGATTCAACAGATAGGTGGGGGAGGAAGACACACGCAGGCAGGCAGGCAGCTCGGTAGGATAGGTGTACATGGATGAGACACACAGACACGGGGAGACAGGGAGACAGACACAGGGAGACAGATACGGGGAGACAGACACAGGGAGACAGACACAGGGAGACAGACACAGGGAGACAGACACAGGGAGATAGATAGACAGACAGACAGGCAGACAGACACACACACACACACACACACACACACACACACACACACACACACACACACACACACACACACACACACACACACACACACACACACACACACACACACACACACACACACACACACACACACACATGCACAAACAAACTTACTGACGACCCAGAGGGGCCACTGCTGAGGCGACTGCATGAGCGTGGGGCACATGACGGTGCAGTTGGCCGGGTCGCTGTGCAGCATGGAGTCGCTGTCTGCTCCCAACGGGTTGTGGTCGTGGCCCTCAAAGCCACCGCGGCCATCATCGTCGTCTGTGGCCAGCCACATGCCATTGTGAGCTGCTGCATGTGCAGCGATGACACGGCTGCCAACAGCGACTACAGCGGCAGCAATGGCAGCCACCGAGCGCACTGCCATTGCTGTGTGGGAGGAGGGGGGCTTGCGGATGGGAGCAGAGTTGGACGGTGTTGGAGCAGGTGTTGGAGTGGAAGGACAACACTTCTTCTCTTCTTTCGCTTTGTTGATGTGAGTTTTGGAGATGAGAGTGTTGCGCGGATGATGAATGACGTGACCTCCAACCCCCCCCCCCCCCTCACACCCACACACACCCGCACATACACCCACTCTCTCATTTGATGGGTTGACTGTGTGCTGCTGACACGAGTGGTGATCTCATTCATTCGTTGGTTCATTCGTTATCGAGTGGCTCGTTCCCCCAACCCCCAGCCATATTGACTGCTGCGCAGGTGTGCCACCACCAACTGCCATTGTTGTGTAATGCGTTGCATTGTCTGTCACATGCGGTGCCGTCACCTGGTGGAGTGCAGCAAGTCCACGCCATATTCCCTGTACTCGTCACGTGAGATCCAGTGGAAGTTGAAGCCTTTGCTCGACGCAACAACAGACCCGCCTGCAGTGTTGTGTGTGTGTGGGGCGGGGGAGGAAGGAAAGGGTGATTCGAACGGTGTCAGAGTGAAGACGAGAGGATGGGCAGAAAGCATGGACAAGACACGCACACACACTGGCGTGCACGCACGCACACACAGACACACACACACACACTCTCTCTCTCTCCCTCCCTCTCTCTCTCTCTCTCTCTCTCTCTCTCTCTCTCTCTCTCTCTCTCTCTCTCGCTCTCTCTCTCTCTCACACACACACACACACACAAATTTCTTCCCCTCCGCTCCCCTCCCTTTGCCCACCTGTCCATACGGCGAGGTGTCTGTTCGGGTCGTCAACAATGTTAATCTCCACAGCTGGGGGCGCAATCTCTCTCAACTCCTTCCGTAACCGATCAGCGAACCCTGCACACGAGAACCGTAGCGGAGGTAAGAGACAGGGAGACAGACACAGGGAGACAGATACGGGGAGACAGACACAGGGAGACAGACACAGGGAGACAGACACAGGGAGACAGACTTAAAAGACATTCAAACGGACACACACACCCACACCCACACCCACACCCACACCCACCCACACCCACCCACACCCACCCACACACACCCACACACGCACACACACACACACACACACACACACACACACACACACACACACACACACACACACACACACACATGCACAAACAAACTTACTGACGACCCAGAGGGGCCACTGCTGAGGCGACTGCATGAGCGTGGGGCACATGACGGTGCAGTTGGCCGGGTCGCTGTGCAGCATGGAGTCGCTGTCTGCTCCCAACGGGTTGTGGTCGTGGCCCTCAAAGCCACCGCGGCCATCATCGTCGTCTGTGGCCAGCCACATGCCATTGGGAGCTGCTTGCATGTGCAGCGATGACACGGCTGCCCAACAGCGACTACAGCGGCAGCAATGGCAGCCACCGAGCGCACTGCCATTGCTGTGTGGGAGAGGGGGCTTGCGGATGGGAGCAAGTTGGACGGTGTTGGAGCAGGTGTTGGAGTGGAAGGACAACACATCATTCTCTTCTTTCCCTTTTGTTAGAGGTGAAGTTATTGGAAAATGAAAAGTG